ATTCGGACTTTGGCATGAGCCCGGGAGGTGAAGGACGGGGTGATGCACTGTCCTCGTTATGTTTACCGATTCGATCTCTTGGTTCTTGATATTTATTGGTATTCTAACGTTGCTGAATATATTTGGTCGTTGATCATGTCTCTTTGTTGTATTGAGCATCAATGGTATGGTATATTATGGTGATTTGAATATGGAATCCTATGATCTTAGCATCCGGTACGTAATTGTTCACTCGGTTTCTTGTAAGTCTCGGTTTGCATCTGGATGATGTCTTGAACTCTTTTATTAATAAGAGTTTATTATGTATGTTTATAAACATGTGCGATATTGATATGTAATACTTAACTATTTAACTCACTAAGCGTTGATTACCATTTAAGTGGAAACCTCTCTCAGGAAAGAAGTCGAATAAGAAGAAATAACCCGTTGTTTGACTTCAAAATTTATCGAGGAACTTGAAGATTACGATCTTGCTTTTGGGTAAATAGTAACTTATTACCGTATCTCATAGTTGTAGTAAGTGTAGCTTATATATAGTCTTATTTCGGTTATAAATATGTCATGTATTCTTTTGCTACTTAATTCGGGGTGTAAGTAAAAATCCGTTATATCCGGTTTGGAATTGTGTTTTGGGTGGTTTTATCATTAAAATAGAATGGATATTTCAAAGTTTTTCTAGAAAATTAATATCCCATATTTTGAGGTTAATTAATGTTATGCCCAGATCTGTGTGTTTCAAAGGGTTGGTCCATTTTCATAGCCTCTAGTCCTTCACGGCCTCTGGTCCTTCATGGCCTCTGGTCCTTCATGGCCTCTGGTCCTTCATGGCCTCTGGTCCTTCAAGGCCTCTGGTCCTTCATGGCCTCTGGTCCTTCATGGCCTCTGGTCCTTCATGGCATCTGGTCCTTCAAGGCCTCTGGTCCTTCAAGGCCTCTGGTCCTTTATGGCCTCTGGTCCTTCATCGCCTCTGGACCTTCATCGTCTCTGGACCTTCATCGCCTCAAGACCAATTCATCGCATCTGGTCTTCTTCTAGACTTAGTCATTTCAGCAGCCTCTGGTCCATCGCCTGCCTCTGAACCAATTCATCGCCTCTGGTCTTCTTTCAGACTTAGTCATTTCAGCAGCCTTTGGTCCATCGCTTGCCTCTGGACCAATTCATCGCCTCTGGTCTTTCTCCAGACTTAGTCGTTTCAGCAGCATTTTCAGATTTTCCATCTTTGGCCCCGATTGCTTTGACAAAACTTTTAGAATAATTAGGATCAATTTTGGTCCCAATAATCAATAAATTATATTTTATTGGAGATTTTATAAAATTGGTAAAATCTGGGGATTGCTCTAGCGAGATGTTTCAGGAGGATTAAACGAGAACGATACATATTTAAAAGACACGGAAATGGACAAATCACATGTGATTTTACATTAACATCACATACAAAATCATATGTGATTCAGGTGACCTTGCCCGACGACCTGAACACAAAGCCACAAGTAGTCTAGACACTTTTTTTAACCATTAATATAAAAATCACATTTGATTTGACCATTTTCGTGTTTACTTAAATAGGTATTGTTCTCGTTTAATACTGTCTATATATATATATATATATATATATATATATAGAGAGAGAGAGAGAGAGAGAGAGAGGAGTTTAAAATACAAACCCTATCATATGAAATATTTATGAAAATGATAAAAGTTTATTTATCATGATCTCGATATTTGTAGAAGCTTATCAGAGTTCATTTATTATAATTAACACTTTAGATCATGAAACAATCGAGATGTTTATGAAACTGACTTGAATGAATAGACGGTTGGAATTGATTTGTATGATTTATACTAATTAGAGAATTGTTTGTATTTGAAACACACACACTCTCTCTCTATATATATTTTTTAATACTGTAAATAAAGAAAAATAGAAAAGTAAAGAAAGATTAAACTACAATTTTGGTCTTTGTGGTTTTTGATTTGGCAAATGATAAAAAATTAGCAAAAGGACCAAAATACCTCTCATTTAACATAAATTTTTAACGACCGTTGGAGTAAGGGACCAAGTCCGAACGTTTTTACAGACTATGATGATCCATCTTCAAATTTTGAGATCTTCAAGGATAAAAAGTGTTATTTTGACAAACCGTATGGACCAAATTGATAGTTGACTCCTTATCCATTAACAATAAGTAAAAAATAATTTCGATAAACTAAGAGTTTTAGGCTTTAAAGGGTTGTACCTTGCCAGGCTAGCTGGGTTGTACATATAAGCATGTTATGTATGTGCCAGCCTAGCTACCTTAATTGCCTGCCTTCTTAATCATATAAAGCCATAAAGGTATCAATCATCACACCACTTGTTATTGTTAAATGTCTTTAACAATTATTTTCTATAATGCATCATTTATTTCTAACTAAAGTTAATAAAACCATTTTTAAATAGTAATATTTAATATCTTTTATTATATAATTATTCTTTCACCCTTATATTATCGAATAAAATACAATATCCATGCGTTCTTGAAAAACAAATCGGTAAAACTCTTAAATTTCAAAATTACGTATCGACTACAAAGCACTAATCGATTAAGTGTCATTATAGATTGTTTTATAAGACTTAAGTTTATACGATCAAACAATTGTGCATCCTATGTAAAAGTGTTACAACTAGTTTATAGGAGTTTTTGGATGTTCTAATAAGTTTCTAGGTCACTTTTGAAATAAAGTTTCCTATTAATCATTGCAAATTTTTTGAAATAAAGTATCCTGAAAACTTGTTAAGATGTTAAAAAAATGTCGTTTAAGTTTGTTGTAACATTTATAAATAGGTAGTGCATTTGTTTGGTTTTGTATATTTAAGTCCTATAAAGTAATCTATTATGACAGTACTCAGATGTTTATGACAATACTTGTTAGTATTTGTTGATAATATTTGTTAAAATAAAAAAGAAGGGTGTGAAGTTCTACAGACAGTATGGACCGTTAGATTCGATTATCGTTCTGTTATAAAAAAGAGTTTGGACAACCATTCTCGAGAATATGAAGAGATTTTAAGGATGGCCACTTAAAACTAATGGTTAAGATCAAGAATGTAAAAAGTTCTGGACAGGTCTTTTTATTTATATTTTATACTTAAATTAAATTTTATATATAATTAATAATTATTTTTTTGGTCAAAAAGATTTTAAAAGTCCACTCGGCTGGCTTTAGACCAAACTTTCCTATTAAGTACAACCTTCCTCTAAATATATGAAATATGTAAAATACGTTTCAAATCTCGATGTTTAAATATTTAAGGGTTGTTTAGGGTTACTTATAAAATAATTTATTGACTTATTTCGGTGTGTTACTGGTAATAAACACTCTTGAGTGTTTGAATAAATAACTTATACCGGTGTCAAACCGGTGATAAGAAGTTTTTGAAGAAGTTAAACCCTTCTGACTTATAATAAGTTTATAAGTGCTTTTGTAGAAAAGCATAAGTTGTTTCAAATAAGTAATCTCAAACACCTACTGTGAAATAATTGGTTATTGAGAATTCGGGTTTTGGAGGTCGATAAGTGATTGGAATAGAAAAATATCCTTATCCCATATTTTGTGAAACTATTTTCCTTTTTTTAAGCTATGTACATTGTTATGATTTTACGTCATATTTTAAGAACACAAAAAAAAGTATTTACTTTAGATAATTTAAATGACTTATGATTCTATATAAGTTTCGTATTTTAAAATATAAAAGATTTTTTAGGCATGTCATGACACCATTATCAAATCTGCAAAAACAGACTTGAATTTGGTATATTAAATCCTTTAGACACAATATTAGATTGGACGCCTGTATTTGGACCAAACCAGAAAATGATCATCTATATGTTGATAGCATGGATCACATAGGCGGAACAACAAAAGGTAAAATGAGTCTCATACCTATAAAAAATCTCCAATGTTACGGTTTCAAAACGCCTCAATCAAACGAATTTTAGGATTTCATTTTTTTTCCCTCTTTGTTCTCCGGTTATAGATTGTAAAAATGTGACGTAAATCTTTGGATGATGTGAGTCTAATTTGAGAGTGGTTGAGAGTTTAGTGTGTGTCACTGTAATAATTTCACATATTGGATTTTCTCCACAATGTCGTATGTTTCAAAAAAAATTGGAACATAAAATTTGATTTTGTGAAGAGAAATTACGAAAAAAAAAGGTTTCATTTTTTGTTACAATAATATTTTGCATCTTACTGCATCATGTGAGTATACAATTAGTATATATCTATGTTATATTATACAAAATTCGATAAAACACTTTTAAAAACAACTTATTAAAACATTAAGTATCACTTATTAATGTATAATCTCTTCAAACTCAAGTTCATAACTTATTACAGATTATCGTCGACTTCTTAAAGGTCATCCAGTCGATGGACGCCCATAGCCAAGGCAACCCATCAAAGCAAACTCGCGTGAAGCATATCAACATCCACAAATGCGCTAGGGTCTACACTCCAAACGAACGTCAATCAAAGTTAGTGGTCCCCAACAAATTACTTGAATCTTGAAAATTTGTTTCTGAAATAAAATTTTAAAAACTAGTTCTTTAAACTAGAAAAAAATTGAAAAATTAATTTTATTTTAATACAATTTTACCTTATAATTTACTTATAGCAGGTACGATTTAATGATTGACTAAAATACACTTTGCGTTTATATCTCCTTATACCACAAAAAATTAAACATTACTTTTACCAAATAAATTTTAGAGTAAACTATAAATTCGGTTCATGTGGTTTATTGTTTATAACCCTTTTGGTCCCTACAATTTCAAAAGTATAGATTCGCCATGTGGAATGTAAAAACGACAAGATTTGGTCCCTCCCTCTAACAGCCGTTAGAAGAACCGTTATGTGAAGGGTAGTTTGGTCTTTTTCTACTTTTAATCACATTTTTATTTGAAAAATAAATAAACATGTAAATTAGAGGGACCAAGATTGTAACTTAAATAATATACAGAGAACTAGCTTTTGTCGGCAATAGGTTTTCGTCGGAAGACCATCGCCACAAAATCGGAAAACTACCGGCCACTTCCGCGACCTTAAACCCCTAAATCGAGAAACCAGCGGTACCCAAACCTGTTGTTCCTTGCCTCCATCCACCATGACCTGGACCCCCTTCCCCCGGTTTTTCCTTCTTTGATTGTCCATCGGAACAACCAGTCCACTCCACCTTCTTCTTTTGTGACCACCTCCAGGTAACAGAAACTCTCGTCGCACCGATCTCATCTCATCTTCTTCCACCTTTTACTTCGATCTCCCTTTCCCTTAAATCTGCAACTCTCACCAGCGAACACACAATATCTCCCCCTTCTCCATCACCGACTAATCACACGTCCCCCTTCCCTTTGAACTCTGACAGGCTAGGATCGTTCGCGTATTCCTAGTGGGCAGAATGTCCGCACAATGTCGGTGCAAGTATACGCCGACACTATGATCGCTTACAAGTAATAAAGTGGTACAAAGTACCGAGATCGTTCCCACAGAGAAAGGACGTTTGAGATTTAGAGATTTTTCAAGAACTTTTTGCACGAGTTTCGAGATGTAAAAACTTTTGATTTTTGTTTATAAAAAGACTGAAATAGGACCGACTAGCTAATTAACGAAATAAACTTTTAATATTAAATGATGGGCATGGGTGCAAATGTTGCTTAAGATAAAATCAACAATAAAATGGTTAGACTTTTACGAGTTGTTTATAAAAGTTCTGATCTCTCGAAAGTGAACTTTTATAACCGGGCCTTATAAAAGTCCATAAGGTTTTTACGTTTACCACTTCGAGACTTGCCGATCTAGCTAAAAAGTAAAAGGAATGAAAATTTCACCCAGATCTCTTTGTGATGAAACACCTATTGCTTTAGCTAAATGCATGCAAAATTCGCGTCTCCGCGTAATTATTCAAAGACCCTCTCGAGTTCAATGTGCATCACTTAAGCCGTATTTCGGATCCGCCCATCTCTGGGTCTAAGATCTAATATTAACACTTCAAAGTGATCAGTTTATCCGCATTTTTAAGTACCATCTTAAGTGACCAAGTTACGAAGTGATAAAAGATAAAAAAACACCCAAATATTATAAAAACATATTAAGTTAAACTCACACCCACACCCATACAAGTAATTTAGCTAGACATAATAATTAAAGACGTAAAGTAATACTGAAATATAAATTGCATTAATGTAAAACTAAATTACGAGTACAAGAAAATAAAATACTAGAAATTAAAGACTAGAAACTAAAGACATAAAATTAAAGACAAGAAATTAAAGACATAAAATTAAAGGCATAAATTTAAAGACATAAAATTAAAAAGCGTTTATAATATTAAAAGATGAAACATAACAAAAGATGATGTTGGGGAACTAGTTGGCACAAGTTAGCCCAAGTTAGCACACCTTGGCACCAATTTTCTCTAATCTTGGCACCCTTCAAAAGAGCTCTAATCTTGGCACACTTCAAAAGACTCTCCTAAGCCTCTTTATATAGGGGAGAGGAAGGGAGGAAGTACACACCCAATCATTATATTTGGGCAATTAGTACAAATAAAGAAAATACAAAAGAAAATAAAATAGAGAATGAAAGACAGCTCATAACAGCTGGAGGAAAAATATCTGGAGGAATCTTCAAGCTGCACGTTTCCCAAGAAGCTCTAGCAAGGCTGGAAGACTTCCCATAGTGGTGCCACAGTGGGCAGTGCTGTCAGAAAAATACAGATTTTTGGAATAATACCTCTTCCTTTGTGTTTCAACGTCTTTTTAAAACTTTTTGGAATAAAAGACAAAAACAAGAAAATTGGGTATTTAAAAATAGTAAAAAGGGAGGAAATAAAAAGGAAATAACTCTTAAAAATAAGAGTTATCAAACTCTCCTTCATCCAACTTCCCCATCTGATTCTCCTACAAATCCAAGCTCGTTTGGATGTCTATGTAAATTGAAACCATCTTGGTGCATAAAACACGAGACTGAAGGTTGTTTTGAATATGGATTTGGTTTCAAAATTTGGCTCGAATCCTGGTGCATAGAATACGAGCTGGTTTCAAACACAGACTTTTGTTGTACACACACACATACAGATTTTTTTGTTTTGATTTTGATTTTAGGGTTTGGGATGTTTTCTTGTCATTTTGATGTTGTTGTTTCTGCACGGAGAAGATCGCCAAAAAGGGATGGGTTTGGTCGAATAAAATGGTCTAAAAAGTTTGGGTTTGACCGGAAACGTTCTTGCGGAAGGTAGGGACACATAGCATGACTTAATTTGTGGATTAAAACATTTTTTTATTATTTAATGAAAAATGAGAATAGACGAAAATACCTCTTATTTAACGGAATTTTTTAATGGCCGTTAGAGGGAGGGACTAAATCCAGTCGTTTTTGTATCTCACAATGACAAATCTGTAATCTTGAAACTCATAAGAACCAAAAGTGTTACAAGCAACAAACCACATGGACCAAATTTATAATTTACTCTAAATTTTATAATCATGTTTAATACATTAATTATTAATAAAAAAAATATTGACGCTCTGGCATATAGTAAAATATCTCTAGCAGCTATGCTAAAATGAAGAAGAGATGGATTTTTGTAATTTTTTTTACTCCAACAACTATGTTATCTAGTATGTTAAAATAGAAAACAAAGAATAAAGATGGTAAAAATCTCTAAATTCAAAGAAATCTCAAAATAGAGACAAAAATTACTATTTTAATAATTTCCCACGAAGAAGAGATATTTATGATAAATATTTAGGAGGGAAAATAATATTTATTAAATTTTATGAATATTTTAATAATATAAATGTTATAATTTTCAAAATAGAATAATTGGTGTAATTAAATGTTATTTTTTTTAAGATTTTGACTTTTAATACTCTATTTTAGAAAAAATATAGATATATAACATAGCTGTTGGAGATGCTTTTAGTTGACAAAAGAGGCAGGGTAACTTTGTGTAAATACCTGTGTCTCCCTTTTTACTAGCCTTAGCAGCTAAATGATTCAAAAAATGTCCCCTCAAATTAGTATTTTTGAAGGCTATGTGACACCGATTAAAATTGCCAGTAATCAACTTTTACCTAAATAAATAAATATTAAGAGCTGAAGCCATCCAATCCTTAAAATGTTATATGCTTTAACTCAAACAACTTAAACCAGTTTTATAAAAGAAAATCAAAAAGAAAAGAAAAAAAATGGTGCAAAAGAGAATTAGAAGTTACTTTTTGATGAGTTTAGGAATAAAGTTAGGCGTGGGATCTTACATTACGGCATAAAGATTCTTATAATCCGTTTCACGTCAATACATCAATACCAACTTTTGAGGTTGTCTAATTACCAAAATACCCTTGGAAGATTCTAGTGTCACCTTTATGTATCTATGTTCGGGTCAAGATCGATTATCGCATACGTAACGAAATCGAAATTACCCATCGGTATCTTATTTTACCCTTTCAATAATTTTGAGGACTAAAGAGACGGTATGAGTTGAATGACGTGACAGATTAAAAGTTATTATTTATATGTTGAATTGATCATATTTTCGTTATCCTCGATAAATCGACGGAACGTTAGTCATTGGATATTTGCCTACTTTTCTTTATGGAGTTTTTTAGGTCCATATAGAGTTGGTGCTCATTTGGATTCTAGCGCTTATTTTGGTACGTGATCGTTTGAATTTAGACTCATTTTAAAATAATCAGTATGTGTTTATACTTAATTTCAAATGTCCAGATAAAATAAAAAAGAAACTGTGTTCTGAGAAAGTGTTAAGTCAAAACGGCCTATTTTAACAACTTCGAAATTTTAAACTATTTGACCGTGAACCTTATTCTTAATGTAACCAATCAACAGGGACCATGCAATATACTTGTTCAACATGAATCGATTGAACTTTATGGCTTTCGACTAACAAACTTGACCATGAAGAGTTGACAACCTTATGTGAAATATGATGACTAAAAAGAAAATATAAAACACTATAACAAAATTGGTTTTGTAGAATACCGAGAATGTGTAAACGTCCTAATGGTATACTTTATATAACTTAGGTTTATTGAACCGAACTATAAAGCGTCTTATGTAAAGTGTTATAATAGGTTTATACGCTACTTTTGTGCGTTAAATATGTTTTTTTGGATGTCATTAAAATAAAATATTGTGTTAACTATTATATAGGAGACTACTGAGAAGTGTTATATAAACTCATTTTTTATAGGACAATTGTTTTTCGGGCCGGTCCTATGGTTTTGGATGCCCTGAGCGGAGAGTCAAAGATATGCCCGTAATAAGAAAAACAAAGAACACACATATTTTAAGGGTTTTAGAACCTAATCAAGATAGGTGATTCATCCCACCCTGGTTTTTATTGGAAAAAAAAAAGAAGCTAGAAGGCTCATCTTGACAATTTTTTTGGTTCTTGTGGACACATATGATGTAAGCCATAAAACTTCCATGGGTATTGTTACATATTTATTATTTGGTTTTTTGCACAACGTTTGAAATGCTTACTTTCTCAAGTTATTTTATGGATTTCTTTGAATGTATCTTGGAAGCATGTAATTTCAAGTAAATGTTTTTCCTCCAAGCCCTGAGCAATTGCTTCTCATAATGAGCCTAAAGTTACACATTTTCTTCTATGACTACAAATTGTACCAAATAGTTGCTTATGTGCTTCCTTTTCTCCCCATGTTTGGATGATTTAATTAACATCAGTCATAGTAGTAGTCTTGTGGTTCCATATGATGAGGTGATGAGGAGGGGTGTTCCTAATTTTTATGTTGTTGCTCTAGGACTAAATGATATAAGGTATGTTTTAACATGTTAATCATGCATAATTGTCATATTCCTTCATGTAAGTTCTTGCATTTTGATGAATGCTCACAATATCAATTCATCCTCAATATTTTGGTGAAGTTATATCAATATGCAGTTGTTTCACTATCCTTTTTCAGCCTTCTAAGTCAAGACATCATGATAATATTATGATTTCTAATTACCATCTTGAGTTGAATCTATAGATTATTTTGTGGTTGTATTTGTTCTATTTATTTCATCTTCTGATGATCTTGCTAATCTTTCATGCGAAGCCACAAAGTTCTTTTAGAATTTAGAAAAAGAATTTCAGGTTCTTAGTTTGGGAAAGACTAGTATTACTTCGACTGGTAAAACAGTTTCACATCATAAACTAAAGAAAAGGGAGTATGACCTGTTGAAGTTCGAGGAGTCGTGTGATTGGC